CAAAACAAAAAAAAAGCATTCAACAAAGAGAAATTTACAGTTTAGAATCTAATAAAAAATGACCAGGTGTACCAAAATAAGGCACATATGATCCCATAATAAGGATAATCAATAAGGCAAAACCAACCTAGAATTGACACAGATGTTAGAATTAGCAGACAAAAACATCAACATGTTGTAGCTACACTGTGTTAGGTTCAAATTTTAAGCATTTATCTGGAAGATGTTTAAGGGGAAAAAAAAGAAAGACCCAAATTGAAGTTCCAGAGATAAAACCACTTCAGCTGCACTGGGTTCTTTACCTAACAGAGAGACCTAAAACTTTATTTTCAAAAGATCTGAGTTGTTAGTTACCCCACTACTGCCGCCAGGCTGGTATACCTTTTTTTTTCTTTTTCTTTTTTTTTTTTTTTTTTTTTGTACCAGGAATCAAACTCGGGATCTTGCACTTGCCAGGCAGGCGCTTGTGCTGCTGAGTTATATCCCCACCTTTGGTATACTTTTCCATATTACTGTTGGAGTGGTCACCATCTTTGTTAGAAGGCCACAGGCTGCCCTGGATGGCCTTCCACAGGCTTCGTACACACACCCTGCCCATGTATCAGCATATACAGGGGCCTCTTTAGATAGTAGGTAGTGACCAGAGAGTGGGAAGCAGGAATTAAAATTGGGTGCTTTCGCAGCTTTTGGCAATGCTAAAGTCTGGATCTAGTCATGTGGATGAATGATGAGGTAAGGGTGAGGATAAGATCACAGAAAGCGGGGAATGGAATGGAATGGAATGATCCGGATATAAGGACGAGCATATATTAGTGCTCTAGCATATATTAGGGACTAAATTAGCATATATTAGGGACTAAAGTTCCTAGCTCTAGTAGAATGCTTGCATGGCATATGTGAGGCCCTGGGTTTAATTTCCAGTGCTGCAAAGAAGAAAAAGATGGGACAGGGAAAGAGGGGAATAGAGAGGGAGGGATGAGGTGGGGGTCAAGTATATATTAAAGTCATGAAAAATTATGACTAGAGCAGTGTTGGGGACAGGAACAGTGAGTCAGGAGCTAAAATCAAGAAGTGAGTGGGAGTGATTGCCATTATGGCACCCATAATGAATACAGAGTGATCTGAGCCAATGATACCAGTTCACAGTGGGGGTTTTTAGGGAATTGGAAGGGAAATGTTCTAGGGCTAGTGATGAGGAATAAGGAGGATGGATGCCTATCCCACCTCCAAGCCCTGTGGTATATGAGTGAGTCCTGAGGAAAAAGCAGGTCCCATGGGAGGGCAAGGAGGACTGCGCAGGAAGCAGCCTCCCCAGGGGAAAGCCTGTCCCAGGGAGAGCAGAGCTTTTCAACTATGCCATTGTTGACATCTGGGACCAGATCACTCTGTGGTGGGCTGTCCTGTGTGCAGTAGGACCTTTAGCAACTCCTTGGCCCCTATTCTACACATACCAGGAACACACCCACCTTAGCTGTGACACTTAGACATTTCCAAGGATTGCTGAATGTCTCCCATGGAACAAAATCACACTTGAAAACCACTTATCTATAAGCCACGCTTTACATTCTCTTGCTACTGTATTTCTCAGAGCCGTTTCCCAGAGATTTCTTAAATCAAAAGACCCTAAACAAACTCCAGTAAAAACTTCGTTAAGATTCTTGTTTGAGTCAGGCATGGTGGCACACACCTGTAATCCCAGTACTTGGGAGACTGAGGCAGGAGGATTGCCACAAATTTGAGGGCACCTTGGACTACATAGTGAATTCAAGGCCAGCCTAAATTACACAGCAAGACCTTGTCTCAAAAAACATACATACATACATACATACATATATACATGTTCTTATTTGATGATGTACTGCAAACTTGTAGTAATAAATAAATATTCTTGTTTGTAATAGAAGTTACTCCAAATGACATTATCTAAGAGATAAAGCAGAATCACCTTTACTATTTTTAATCAGTATAATGTTATTCTAATTATAAGAGTATTGTTAAATGCATTTAGGAGATTTTTATTCCTCCATTAAACAAAAACAGCATTATATATAGACAAAAAATAGAATTGGATAAGAAGGCTAAATGTAAAAATAAAATTATGAAACTTCTAAAGAAAATCTTAGTAGAGTATCTACTGGAATATAGCAGAAAATCTTCAGTATTGGAATCGACAGTTTTTGAACTAGGACCCTGAAAGTGTTAACCATAAAAGAAAAAGTACAAATAATAAAATGGCTTGATGAAAATTAAATAGTTCACTGAAAGATACCATTAAGAAAATGAGTAGGGGGCTGGGGATTTAGCTCAGTGACACAGCATCTGCCTGGCAAGTGCAAGGTCGTGAGTTCGATTCTTGGTACCAGAAGAAAAACAAAAAAAAAAAAAAAAAAAAAAAAGAGAAAATGAGTAGGCAAGAAAATATTTGCAATACACATACATGACAAAAAGCATATAAAAATAAAAATATCGGGGCTGGGGATTTAGCTCAGCGGCAAAAGCGCCTGCCTGGCAAGCGCAAGGTCGTGAGTTCGGTTCCCAGTACCGGAGAAAAACCCAAAAAGATAAAAATAAAAATAAAAAATAAAAATAAATAAAAATATCTCAAGAACAAGGCATCTGGGCATGGTGGTGCATGCCTGTAGTCCCAGCACTCTAGAGGCTGAAGCAGTAGGATTGCTGCAAGTTAGAGGGCAGCCTGAGCTACATAGTTCAAGGACAGTTTGAACTTCTATATAGCAAGACCCTGTTTCAAAAGAATGCAATACAATACAATACAATACAATACAATACAATACAATACACAAACAAGTCGATATTTTTAATGGGAAAAGAAGTTTGGTTAGACACTTTCTGGATAGAAATTCATGGATGCCCAGCACACTTATAAAAAGGTGCTCATTATTAGTTATCTGGAGCAGGGGATATAGCTCAGTGATAGAACACTTGCCTGGCATGCAGGATGCCCTGGGTTCAATCCCCAACACCACCACTAAAATTTTTTTTTAATTTTTTAAAAATTTAAAGAAAAATATATGTGTGTATGTATGTATGTATACGTATTTTTTCAGGGACATGCACATAGCAGATACAGTGATATTCTGCACATACCTGTTAGATTCCATGAATGACCCAGGACTCACCACACTGAGTGTAGATGTGGGTATAGAATGGCTGTAACTCTTGCATTGTTGCTGGGAATAGAAAATAGCACCAACAACTTGGAAATTGGCATGGCATTTTCTCATAAAGTTAACCATTCATCTACCCTAAAAAACTAACAGTTTCACTTCCAGGTGTTTACCCAGGATATGGCAAAACATGTCCACATGGACTTGGATAAGGCCATGCAGCCAAAATCAATTAGAGGGGAAGAAAGGGAGCCCACGGTGAGCAGAGTGGTGCACATCTTTGGGTGCTGACAATAACTGTGCTTCCCCAGGAGCACTGGGAGTACTCTAATGTGAAAAATCATTTTCTTGGTGAAAACCCTTAATAACCCTACAGCACTGGCAGGAACTTAATTCAAGTAAATATAACCAAGATCAGTGAGAAGTGTTTGGGCCCATAAGAATGTTGGTAGGGTTTAGAAGTTGTTTGCAAACACAGTCCGTGATTCTTTTGGTCTGATTTTTCATGGCACAGCTTTGACAGATGTTTTTCTTCATTTTAGGGGTCAAAAAGAATTCTTCGCTCCAATGAGATCATCCTTCCAGCTAGTGGCCTGGTGGAAACAGAGCTCCAATTAACTTTTTCCCTTCAGGTGAGAACCTTCTAAACATGTCACTGCCAGTCTAGTCCCCAACCAATCCTCAAACCTGGACACTGTTTTCTCCAAGTGCAGCCAGACCCAATATAGCCTAGAGGTTTGTGGCTAGCCTGGAGGGCCAGCACAGTGCCTTAGCCAGCCACTGTAAGGTGCTAAGACAAGGTAAGCTGTTGAGACATGTGCCATGATTCAGTCTTCCTTTGTCTTACCTTAGACAACATGGTAGCCACCTACTATCCCCCAGCCCTACCGTGTTCAGCCCAGCCCCTCTCCTTAGTGATCTGTGGCACCTACCCCAGGTGGCTGCACCGCCTCCAGTCTCCTCTTGCCGTACAAGGTAATCTTCAGCCTTCTCCTCCCCTCATCTCTCCTAGCCTATCTCTCATTGTCATCACCGTAGCCCACACTGAGATGCACAGAGAAAACACCAGACCAAATAGCAAAGAAAGAGACAGTTTGTGGATCCCAAAGCTGTCAGAAAAGCAGGCACTGAGCAGAACAAGCCCTCTGGTGCTTCTTTCTCACCCTGACCACTCTGTTTACAAACAAAAGAAACTGAAGCACAGAAGGGTTGTGTGTCCTCTGGCATTACCTAGACCCCCAAGGCCCCAGTTGATTAGTAATTATTGGAATCTGCTTGTGCTTCTTAGTACCCTCACTTCCTTAAGCGAGATGCCAACAAGCTGCAGATCATGTTGCAAAGGAGGAAGCGATACAAGAACCGGACCATCTTGGGCTATAAGACCTTGGCTGTGGGACTTATCAACATGGCAGAGGTGAGCAGAACACAGTCTCAAACTGCTGACCTGTAATTTGGAAAGTCAAGAAGGGCACTGGGCCTGCTGTTCCCACTCAGCAAATGATTTCCCCAGCCTGCTGGCAGGTGTTTAATTTTACTTTTTTTGGTGGGACCAGGTTGGAAAGTACTGAGGATTGAACCCAGGAGTGCTTTAACATTGAGCTGCATCCCAGCCCTTTATAAATTTGAGACAGGGCCTCACTAAGTTGCCCAGGCTGGCCTCGAACTTGTGATCTTCCTGCCTCAGCCTCCCATCCTGGGATTACAGGTGCCTAGTGACCTGGTGGCACCCAGGACCTAATCTAGGTATTCAAGTCACATTTTGTTGCCATGTCTCTAGTTTTCTTCAGTCTGCAGCAGTGCCCAGGTTTTCCTGTCTTTTGTGACATTGATGTTTTTAAAGAGTACAGGTTAGGGCTGGGGATTTAGCTCAGCGGCAAAGCGCCTGCCTGGCAAGCGCAAGGTCGTGAGTTCAGTTCCTGGGACCGGAGGAAGGAAGGAAGGAAGGAAGGAAGGAAGGAAGGAAGGAAGGAAGGAAGGAAGGAAGGAAGAAAGAAAGAGTACAGGTTAGTTACTCTGTTGAATGTTCCTCAGTACGGGTTTATTTGCTGTTGTCTCAAGATTAGGTTCAGTTTGTATAATTCTGGCAGAATCACCACCAAGTAGTGCTGTTCTTCCCAGTATAGCCTAAGGGCATATGATGTCAATTTGTACCTTTACTGGCAGCTACAATTTTGTAAGATTAAGACAGTGTCTGCCAGAATTTCCTACTACAAACTTAATAGGTATTTTGTACTTATTTATGAAAAATATTTTGTGTGGAGCTGTTTTTTGTTTTTTGTTTTTTGTTTTCTTTTTTGAGACAAGTTCTCGCTGTGTAGTCCAGGCTGCCCTTAAACTCACTATGTAGCCTAGGCTGGCTTTGAATTCACAGCAATCCTCCTGCCTCAGCCTCCTGAGTGCTGGGATTATAGGCATGTGCTGCCACATCCAACACAAGTCAGTTTTTGGGGGTTTTTTTTTTGTCTTTTTGAGATGGTCTCACTGTGCAGTTCAGGCTGGCCTTGAGCTCACTTTGTAGCCCAGGCTGGCCTCGAAGTCATAATGACCCTCCTGCCTCAGCCTCCCGACTACTGGGATTACAGGCGTGCACCACCACACCTGGCTTACACGTCAGTTTTAAAAGTCATTTCTAGCCAGGCGTGGTGCACACAGCTAAAATCCCAGCTACTGAGGCTGAGACAGTACCGTTGCATGTTTGAGCCCAGCCTAGGGAAACTTTATGAGATCCTGACTCAGAATGTAAACAAAAGGAGTAGGGGTGTAGCTCAGTGGCTTCAATCCCCATAAAAACATATACACACAAACACACATGTGCGCGCGCACACACACACGCACACACACAACATACTTTTATAGTTGTGTGTGTGTGTGTGTGTGTGTGTGTGTGTGTGCTTTGTTAAATAGGAAAAACTCTGTGGTCCCACAATGAGGGACTGAAAGAGAGTAAATTAATATCAGCAACCATTTCCCCAGCAGTGGTAAGCCCCACTATTTCCCCATGTTCTAGAGCTCTTTTTTCTTATTGCTAGAGACAGCTGCCCACTGCTTATAAGCCTGGCCACACCCAGCTTTGAGAACTAGTTTTTCTGTGAAGGACCTAAGCTGACCTGTGGTCCTAGAGATTAGCTGGGTGGTTTGGTTTTTTGTTTTGTTTTGTTTTTTGTTTTTTTAGTTTTTTGTTTCTTATGATTGGTTGGTTGGTTGCTTGGTTTGCTTGTTTATTTGTTTGTATACTGGGGATTAAACCTAGGGGCTTCATGCTGAGCTGCATCTCTAGCCATTTTTTTGTCTTTCGTTTTTTGGGAGTTTTTTTGAGACAGTTTCAGTAAATCACTAAATTACCCAGCCTGGGCTCAAACTTAGAGTCCTCCCTCCTCATGCACCAGCACTCCCAGCTAATAATCACTTTCAATCTCAAGGCTGGATTGTTATCTTTAAGCACATGGTGATCCCTGACCAGCAGCTGGCACTTCTGCAGACAGGTTTTCTTTTGTGTTCTGTTTTGTTTGCAGTACTTGGGATTAAGCCCCGTTTTTCAGTTCTCCTGCCTCAGCTTCTGTAGTAGCTGGGATTCTTAGACATGTGTCACCATGTGCACTATTTTTTGTTTGTTTGTGTTCTTGAGGCAAGGTGTTGCTACATAGCCCAGGCTGGCCTTGAACTCCTGTAATCCAGATGATTCTCCTGTCTTTACTGCCTGAGTAGCTGAGGCTACAGATGCACACAATGCCTGGGTTAGAGGCAGTTTTAAGGTTAAAATCTTAAAGGCAATAGGAGGATAGTGGCCCCTGGCTTAGAAGTAAGAAGGAAAATATATTTGTGGGATGTCATTGCCATTGGCTTGCACATTCCTTGGATTTATGGAAATGACAGCCATGTTGCTGGCTGTGGCAAGGTGTTTCCACTGCGTTCTTTGCTGGCAGGTGATGCAGCACCCTAACGAGGGCGCTCTGGTGCTTGGCCTGCACAGCAATGTGAAGGATGTGTCTGTGCCTGTGGCAGAAATAAAGATCTACTCCCTGTCCAGCCAACCCATTGACCATGAAGGAATCAAGTCCAAGCTGTCTGGTAAGATGTGCACAGTGTTTGGAGACCCTGTAGAAGATGAGGGAGCCCATGCCCTGATCTCCACCTTGGAAGAGCTGAGCAACACATACCTGAAATGCTCCCAGGCAAGAGAATCTTGGAGGTCCCTGAAACTGAAGCATAGCCATGGCTCTTCCCTCCAGTCTAGCTGTATTGATCCCCACTCATCCAAGTTTCTTAGGCCAGATCACCCCCAGGCAAAGCTGTCTTACTGCAGTGTCTATTCCAGATCGTTCTCCTGATATCGACAACTATTCTGAGGAAGAGGAGGAGAGCTTTTCATCCGAGCAAGAAGGCAGCGACGATCCATTGCACGGGCAGGTACTTCCCACAGCTCTCCAATGGAACGTCTAGAAACTCCTGAGATTTCCAGGCCTCATTCTTTTTTGTTTTGTTTTTGTTGGTTTGGTTTTTGTTTTGTTTTTTGAGGCAGCTTCTCTCTGTGTAGTTTAAGCAGACCTTGTACTCACTGTGTAGCCCAGGCTAGGTGATCCTCCCACCTCAGCCTTCTAAGTGCTGGGGTTACAGGCATGCACCTGGCTCCAAGCCTCATTCTGTTCCCTTCCCACTCAGGACCTGTTCTATGAAGATGAGGATCTACGGAAAGTAAAAAAGACTCGGAGGAAACTCACCTCAACTTCAGCCATCACAAGGGTGAGCTGCACAGGTCCAGGGTGTGACACAGCCAAGATTCTCAGTCTGGGGTAAAGGGGAGTAGTCTGTTCAGACCTAGTGGGGCTAGAGATGTACTCAGTGATAGAAGGCTTGTCTAGTATGCTGGAGGCCCTGGGTTTGATCCCTAGCACTGCAGAAAATTAAAGAGTGTGATAGAGAGCTCCTGTGGCAGAGAGGGTATTATAGCTGTGAGTTATACAGGTGACAAGAAAGGCTGAGAACCCTTGTTCCCGAATTTGGAACAGATAAAATACTTGCTTGGGGAACAGAGCACCTCAGACACCTGCCCCTCCCCCACTTTCCAGGTGATTGCTTCACATGAAGAGCCATCCATTATAGAAAGAAAGCCAGCTCTCACTAGTATTGCTCTTCTTACTCATTTGTTGAATTTTCCCAGAATTAATAGGCTAGTGCTTGGGTTTGTATAAATTCTCAGTTTGATAAGGTTTAATTGGACTTGATGTAGCTCCTGCTGTAACGGACTCATAACCCTGGAGCACAGAGACCTTTGGATTACTTTTCCTCAAGAGTCCCTGTGCTTGGTGAAGAGAGCCCTGGACTAAGCTGAAAACTGAAGTCCTAGGTGTCCTCTTACTGACCCTGGGAGACTCTGTGCAAAGGGTGGGAAGGTTGGGAAGGGTGAGAAGTGCCAGGAGCTTTTAGGAAAGACATTCCCAGTCTCCATTTCCCCAGAGACATTCTGTTTTCTTGGGCACAGAGCCACCCTGGGAGCTAGCACCCTGAGAGCAAGGTTCCTGTCCTCTTTGGGGTGGAACATAGGCCACCCTTTCCAAAGATGTGTCCAAGCCTAGTGTCGCAACAAGGAACAACATTGTCACCTCTGCAGCCAGCCTCAGGGGTCACAGGGCCTCCATTCCATGACTTTGATTGCCCTTCACATCTATGACTGGAGAGTATGAGAACCACTCATTTGTCCCAAGTAGCTCAGCCTCCTGGATGGTGCTTCTGAGACAAACCTCTCCCTCCATGGTACTCCGAGAAGAGAGGATAACCTAGGATCCGCCATTATGACTCCTTCACCTAAACCTTTCTCGTTTTCCTCTGTAGTCAGTCAGACCCTCTTTTCTTCCCTAAGAATGCTGCTGGGCTGTCTCCCCTTCCTAAGGTCCCTCCAAAGTGTCACCCAGTGTCCCCATCAACATCCATTTCTCCAGAGGTAGTTCTGGAAGCTGCCAGGCCTTTCCAGTCTGTTTCTGGATGCTTCATGATTGTCTTTTACTTTTTCTTGTCTCTCTGTGTTCGTTTTTCCATACCAAGAGTTTGGTGTTCTAAACACTCATCTACTTGCTGTACTATCTTATGCTTCTCTTTCACAATACACTAAAGTTTTTTTTCTCTGTTTCATATGCCCTTGTCAGTCTTCCTTACAAGTCAGTTGTTTCTATCCCCAGATGTGAATCTGACATTGAAGCAGAACTTCTTATGGCCACAAGCTAAGTTTTAGGTCCAGAGCAGGACACAGATGGTAAAACTGGTCCATGCCATCCAGGAGCTCAGATACCTAATGATACAGATTCATCTCACCAAACAGCTACAACACAGTAGGATGGGTGCTGTAAGGTGGAGCTTCACCTAAGGGACAGTGTTGACACTAAAGGGAAAGTGGTCACCTCCAACAGCGTTTTGAATGACATGCTAAGAAAATAGGCTGTAAAAATAAGTCAGACGTGGTAGTGCATGCTTGTAATCCCAGCACTCGGGAGGCTGAGGCAGGAGGATTGATGTGAGTCTGAGGCCAGCCTGGGCTACATAGTGAGTTCAAGATGAGCCTAAACCACAAAGTGAGACCCTGTCTCACAAAAAAAAAAAACAAAAAAACAGAACTTCACTAAGTAGATTTGGCAGAAATTTTTGTTGAAAGCAAGCAAGACAGGCCCTCAGACTTACAAGCCCAACATCCAGGAGAGGGGCAGCTGAGACAGACAAGTGTGGGTAATGTGACCAGATTTGCTTCTAGAAAGACCATGGGGAACTCTGGAGGAAACGAGACTGGACACTGGCCGATGAGGTGGGAAGACATTGATTGCAGACAGATTCGAGGAGAAAAAAGGCATGGCATCAAGACATAAGGGACAGTGGTGATGCTAAGGTAGAAGAGACAAGAGGTGGGAGTTAGCCAGCATGGGCTGGAGGCTGGGAGGGGTTTGGACTAAGTGATGGATAGGGGAGGGGTGTTGCTACATGGGATCGCAATGAAGCAGGAAGAGGGCGAACACAGTTGTGAAGTATTGTGTGTATGTACAGGGCGCTCATCAGTTGGCCCTAAGATCTGAAGAACAAGACCATGGGATGGGCTGGAGGTACACATGTGGGAGTTGTCAGGGTGTGGGTAAGGAACAAGGAATGAGTGAGACTGCCTCCTCCTCCCAGCTCCACCCAGTCCCTGGGAACTACACTGGAATTCACCATGCACAAGCCCGTCTTCCCAAAGAGGTTTTCAGTGTGGAGGCTGGAACTGTATCCCCTACTTTTTGTCCTCTCATGGATTCAAGGCAGTGTCTATCGAATTGACCACAAGTGCGTGTTTGAGAACCAGTGTGCAATTTGTCCCCACAGCAACCTAACATCAAACAGAAGTTTGTGGCCCTCCTGAAGCGATTCAAAGTTTCTGATGAGGTATGACCCCTTAATTCCAAGGTTAATGGTAAGTAGAATCCTTGGAGTTTCATGCCTTGTTCCTGTGCAGCTCTGGAAATCAGGATTCTAGCACCATGGTTCCTGCCCCCTTGGGATGCCTAGCAGAGCCCCAAGGAAAGGGCAACTAAGGAAGAGCTCTGTTTGAAGAAAGAGGAGGGGCTCCACATGAAGTGCAGGGAGTTTCACAGTATTTAACGCCAGGTAGACATTGTACCCAACCATTGGTCGATGCCCAAGCCTCTGGCATGAGGTGCCAGTGACAAATCCAGCTGTCATTGCTTAATGTTCCCTCGTCTCCCTTGGGGAGCCTCAGTGAATGGAGCATGAGTAGATGTCCATCAGTGGTCAGCCCTTGAGTTGCCAGCAATTGGCGTTGACAGGAAAGCCATCTCTTTCTGGGCTGGGGAGATCTTGGTACCAATTTCTACAGTCTTCTCAAGGACTGAAAAAGGGATAGAGATAAAGAACAGTGAGAGGGAGGGTCCTTGCCCTTTTTTAGGCTACAGAGGAAGGCAGAATAGGCCATACAAGCATAGCTTTTGCGTCCTCTTTTGCCTGTTCTTAGGAGGGGCACATAACACCCCAGTCCTCCCTGTGCCGGGCTCTGGAGTGGATGTAAGGAGGAACTGAGAGGGTAAAGTGGCCTTCCACAACCCTCCTCTCAGGATTAGATCACAGAAAGGACATCTGTCTGCTCACCAAATGTGATGCTCAGCCATGTCCCTTTAGAGGCAGCATAAGGGAGGCGCCAGCTGACGTGTAGCCCAGGAGAAAGGACTTGCTCAACAGCCATCATTGCTAATAGGCAGAACCCCAAATTTAAAGATCATTTTTCTTTCCATAGGTGGGCTTCGGGTTAGAGCATGTGTCCCGGGAACAAATTCGGGAGGTGGAAGAAGACCTGGATGAACTGTACGACAGTCTGGAGATGTACAACCCCAGTGACAGCGGTCCCGAAATGGAGGAGACAGAGAGCATCCTGAGCACCCCAAAGCCCAAGCTCAAGTGAGACCCGGATCTCCTCTGCAGGCTGCCCCCTGATACCTTTCCTCCCTAGGCCGTTGTGTCCCTTCCGCTTCTTTCACTCCCCTGTTCCAGGGAACCGTGGTCCTTCATGCTTTCTGAGACGCCAGCTCCCTGGGCAGTGATTGCTAATTTTGCCTTTAACTGAGAAAATCCTGATGGGACCTGCCACAATTCCCTCTGCCCAGGCCTGCTTCTTGGCCCCAGAGCATCCTCCCTCACCAGGTGGTAGAAGGCCAGGCTGTTGATCCTCCTTAAGCAACAGATGCTCTTGGCTCTTGAGAGCTGCTGTTACGAGCCACAGCGGCCACTGACCCCAGCTGTGCTTCTTCGCTGCAGGCCCTTCTTTGAGGGGATGTCGCAGTCCAGCTCACAGACGGAGATTGGCAGCCTCAACAGCAAGGGCAGCCTCGGAAAGGACACCACCAGCCCTGTGAGCAGACCAATGGCAATATGGGGTGGGGACAGGGACCTGACATGTTGACTTCACACTCTAGGCCCTCTGCTTCTCTAAGCATGGCTCTTGGGATCTCAGAATAGCCTCAGGTTTCCTCCTCATGGCCTGACTGAGAGTTTAGTACTCCACGGGCATTGCTGTGCTGGCTAGGTGTTCTTCTTCTGTTCCCACCATGGCATGGAGCTTCCCTCCCACCTCAGAACCTCTCACTTCATGTCCATTACATGGTAGCTGAGTCTTTGGTTTTCACCCAGGAAAGCGATTCTGTCTGCCAGGCCCTGGTGGGAAAGAAACAGGTATAAAGGGCTAGAGGGATCCACAAGGACTGTCCAGAAAAAGTAAATTGGCTCTGCTAGGGAGAACTCAGAGGGAATGGATCCTAAGAGATAAAAGAATTTAGTGGGCAGTTTCCCATTTGCTTTGTGAAGAAGAAGAAAAAGTTGTCTGCTGTGGCTCCCAGCGCCCAGTGGCAGGTCATAGGCAGGAGCTCGGGGTGCTGCCAAGTCCTCTAGGCCAGGAGAAGCTGCTCTTCCCTAAATTCAGAACTCAGGCGAGGTAGATGTTGTGTACTGTTGCAGAACAGAGTTTAGGGATTGCTGTGGAGAGCTGTGTCTTAAGATGAGGGAAACTGGATCCTTAAGATCTCCAGTTCTTGCTGCTTTGGTAGCGGATGAGTATGTTCATTTGTTAACCAGAGGAAATATACAACTAACGCTGCCAATGGATTTTAACCGTGAGATGATCTGAAGCTGCAAAGCACGCCATCTGCTGTAGAGCAGTGATCAGTGGCAGGGCTCGTGCCTGTCCTATGCCTGCAAACCACCACCACCACTGTCTCCTGGGGCATCTGTGGCTGCTGTTTTGCTTGCTGCCACCAGGTGGTGCTGTCTGCCAGTTTATCCCTCCTAGTTAAAGGGCTGCTAGCTAGGTCTGGTCCACTAAGGGCTTCATGGTGTTAGTGAGGAGAACCACAGCCCACACGGAAAATCCCACCACAGAGAACCTCAGGACTTCTACCTGAAGGTTAACATTCCCTGAACTTCCCTAGCCTGGTTCATGAGCTTTGGAGCTGCATAGGCCTCACTTTGTGTGCTACTGGGGCTTAGGATGTAGGTGGGAGCTGCTTTTCTTCTCAGGGGGCTGCCAAGTAGCCCTGTTTAATGTCAGTGCCCCTGTGGAGAGACCACTGGCCTCAAGAGTTAGATTCACCCTCAGGTTCTTCTTTTTTTCTGGTGGAGGGTTGGTGAGACAGGGCCTTAATAGCCCAAACTGGCCTTGAACTCATGTCAATCTTCCTGCCTCAGATGTGTGCTACCACACCCAGCTAAGATTCATTTTAAGGGGTAACTCCTCTAGAAATAAGGCCAGCACTAAGCTAAGGGAGAACTGCTACACAGGGTTCTAGGAGTGCTAAACAGGTATGCGACTGTGGGGAAATATAAGTGAGATAGAAGCTTAGGCCCAAAAGCACTAAGCATAGCAACTTAACATTACTGTGGACGACTGTTCAGTGCTAGTGATCACTGTTGCTAAATCAACAGGAGCTATTTCATACTAACAAAGATGGTTCTAGAATGTTAGAATTTGGCTGTAGGTCCTGCTTTAGCCTCAGTTATAAGACTTACAACATCAAAAAAAAAAAAAAAAGATTTACAACATTGACAGAAAAATCACCTTGACTTTTTTTTGGTGGCGGGGATTGAACCCAGGGCCTTTGCTGAGCCTATAGCCTGAGCTATATCCCCAGCCCTATTTTATTTTTTATTTTGAGACAGAATCATTTTAAATTGCAGTGTTGCCTAGGATGGGTTCAAACTTGAGATCCTTTGCCTCAGCCTCCCAGAGTACTGAGATTATACCTTGACATTCTGAGCCTCAGATGCCTTATTTGTAAAGTGAAGGTGTCAAGCCTAGGAGCCCAGTTAGCACAGAAGTCAATCAAAAAGGAGGATGGTAGTACACACCTATAACCCCAGCACTAGAGAGACTGAGGCAAGAGGATTACGAGTTCAAGGCCAGTTTGGGCTACAAGGTCAGTTTGAGCTACATAGAGACCCAAAAGGCAATGGAGGCTGCACATGGTGGCACATGTCTGTAATCTTGGCACTCAGGAATCTGAGGCAGAAAGATGGTGAGCTCAAGGCCATCCTGGCCTACCTAGCACGTTCAAGGTTGGTTTGGGCTACATAGCAAAAACAAAACAAAATAGTCAATAGAGGATTAGTCTGTACAGTATGATAGCCTAAGGCCCCTCTTTCAGCAAAAACTACATCTGTGCAGGCTAGAACATCTGAGTTTGAATCTTGACTGCATCATTCCACTGGCTGATCTTGGGCAGGTTCCCAAGCCTTCATTTCATCATCTGCAAAGTAAATGTAAAAGGTACATGCCTCCCAAGGCCATGTGGAGATGCAGTGTGATCATGTGGTCAGACTGTACTGGGGTGTATGCTGTGCTGATTGATTATTCTGCTGCATGGGACCTGTAGTAAGTATAAGCTACTGTTGCTTTTGTTATAATTCCTTAGAGCCACTTAAGTTTTGGACTCCTAAAATTGATAGACTTCAGATGTCTTTTACATGAGTACTTCAAATTCTGTTTCTCTTAGCCAGACTTCAGACTCACTTTTTGCTTCCCTGCTGAGATTTCTATTTTGAAGGCCCCCATATGTCTTGATGTGGGTGTGGAACTGTGGAATCCTTTGGTAGAAAGGCATTTTGGGAACAGCAAAATAAGGTTGTGCTGTTACTTAGAGAACTTCCTGGTGGATCAGGGAAAACATGCAGTCATGTGTATTTAGGGGCTGTATCCCTACTGCCTCACCTTGGTGGCCTCTTATCCCTGTTGCTGAACATCATTTCTTTTTGTTTCTCTCTTTCTCTCTTTTTGAACCTCCAGGTGCAAGGGGATCAAACCCTGGGCCTTGTTCATGCTAAGCAAGTGCTGTGCCACTAAGCTACATCTCCAGCCCTGTTTATGTATTTTTCTTAATCGTCCTTTTTTTGTTCTCCAAATTTTCAGAAGATTCATGTTATCACTAGAACCAGGAGGAATTTCTGCTGATACAAATTATTGTAGTTGTTGAATTTTCTCAAGATTTGAGCAGTAAGCATAACATAATTTGGGTCTCCTAACTGATAACAGTAGGCCCCAACAGTGCTTCAGGAGGCCTCCTGTGATGCAGACTTTCAGCCAAGGTCGCCTGCTGCTGGAAGTTGCTATTTCCATAGCACTGCCAATGAAGGTGTTAAAGACTAGTATTTCTCTTTCTGTCTCTTTTTCCTTCCCTCTCTCTTTATCTCTCTGTCTGTCTCTCTGTCTCTCTCTGTGTATATGTCTCTCTCTCTCTCTCTCTCTCTCTCTCTCACACACACACACACACACACAAGTGAGCATGCATGCTGTTTAGTAGCTACTCTTGCCATGGGCACATGCTACAGACTACTGGCACTGCAGAAGGCACCTCCAGTGCCACACAGGCAGATATCATGAGGGTACTGTCAGAGCGCCAGGGTCCTGGATGAGAAAAGCCTTTCAAATACATAGGGACAGAAGCTTGGAGAAGCTGTGAATTTGTTATAATTTTTATTTGTCACTTACACTGTAATAAAAGGGGTAGAAGGGTAGATCCTGTCAAGCATTGTCGCTTGGCTGTGGAAACAGTACTGTGGCTGTCACAGGGCTTGACAGCAAGGCATGCTCTTCATAAGCACCCAGTGGGACTGTCTTATCACCTCAGTTCATGCTGAGATCCAAAGGTGAATGAGGTTATCACTCTGAGGTTTGAGCAGGGATTTTCTGGGATTCTAGGCTCAGTTATGAGTGTTGATCAGTCATGTAGACAATGTGTGAATGAACCAGCAGTGCAATCCTGAGGCAACCTGTTCTGCATGGCTGTGAGCCACCTCACAAGTGCTGGGGCCCTGGATCTGGCTGAAATGTTTTGGGTTCATCTTGGAAACAGCTTTGGACAGTAGTTCTCCGCTGGGAATGGTTTTGTCTCCCAGGGGACATTTGCTGATGATTGGAGACATTTTTGGTTGTCACCAGTGAAGAAGATGGCTACTGGCATCTAGTGAGTAGAGGCTAAGAATGCTGCTGAACATCTCACAGTGCACAGGACAGCTGCCCCTGCAGACACTGACCCAGCCCCACTGTCAGGGGACCAAGGTGGAGCACCCAGGGTTAGAACAAGATACAGGACTCGTCCACTGAGCTGTCTTTGTGGTCCTTGTTCGTTGCATGGCCCCTGACTACCTCCCCCAGATCTTATTAACCTGAGCCTAGTGTTATATAATTTACTTAGAGAAAAGACTCTAAGTAATGGAGAAAAATTGGGATATCCTTTATATTTTCTTCCCTACTTAGTTCCATGAAATAAAAGAGATTTACTGAGGCCAGTGCCTTCCTGACATGCAAGACCCACAGTCCACATGACAACTTTGACCTTGGAGTTGCACACCTGGAAGAGATATTAGCAAATATGAAATATGTGGTTATGTATCTGTACAATGGACTTCTTTTTAACAGTACTGGGGATTGAACCCAAGGCCTTGCACATACTAGGCAAGACTCTACCACTGAGCTACACCCCTAGCTCAAAATAAACTTTCAGTATTTACAAGAAATACTAATAGGCTGGAGGGAAGGAAGAAATCAGGAATTGTTTCATTGGTACAGTTTTAGTTTTACAAACTAAAAATGGGGGAATAATATACTAATAAAATTTGGGGACAAAGAATTAATTTACACCTAAGTGGCTGTACATTGGGCATGTTTTGCTTAGTATGTTATAGGGTTTTCTGGATGCTCCTACCAAGCAGAAAGCATTCAGTTACTTCAGATGCCTTCAGCCACAAAATTACAGACTTGAATTTGGCCAAAGGAGGCACCCATATGTCTCTTCTAGGCAAGAGTGTTCATGGGTCCTATAGCAAAGCTGTCTGACTTTAAGCCTTTCTTCCTGGCATCTAGTAGGAATCAGAATTTCTGGGTTCCACATCTCTCTGTGACACTGACTTAATGATTTTTTTTTGAAGTGACTCCTCTGTTCTAACAAAAATATGCCCCCCTAATAAGATGAAAACCCTAAAGATTTTAAGAGGTTGAAAATTAAGTAAAAGTAGCTGGGCATGGTGGCACATGCCACTAATCCCAGCATTCGGGAGGCTCAGGTAGGAAGGTCATAGCAAGTTTAAGGCCAGCTGAGCTACATAGTAAGTTCAAGGCCAGACTGAACTATATACCGAGACCCTGTCTCAAAAAAACAAAAATTTTTAAAAAAGGAATATAGAGCCGGGGATATAGCTCAGGGGCACAGTGCCTGCCTGGCAAGGTGCAAGGTCCTGAGTTTGATTCCCCGTACAAAAAAAAAATAATAATAATAAGTAGAAGTATTTTAAGCGTCCTAGGGACTTAGCAGAACAATTTAGAGTGATGGTTATTTGGGTCAGAGATAACTAATAGTTACAATTTTTGCAGATGGAATTGGCTGCGCTAGAAAAAGTCAAATCTACTTGGATTAAAAACCAAGATGACAGTTTGACTGAAACAGACACTCTGGTATGTATGGTTCAGTTTTCCATTGTAGCTACTCAGATAAACTCTCAAAATAAGGTAGAGGCACCCTTGGGACTACCCTGGAAATTTGGCCTAAATACGTGTATTTGTACCTATACTGTGTCCTCTTTCTCCTGAATTCTTGCCCATGGAATGGAACCTACCCTAGAGAGTAGGTTGTTCCTCAAATTAACAAACAGAAATGTTCTCATCCTCCCCTTTTTTAGAGCTGATCAAATGCTAGCTTAGATAATTTCTCACTGTCATCGTTTACTTCTGAAAGCTGATGACCAGTGTTTTCCCTGAAAAGCCATCTCCTCCCCCTGGGATGTTGCTCTGTCAGTGGCCAGGCAGCCCACAACACTGAACCTCTGTGTGGTTATTGGTAAGCTTCTTCCTGCCAGAGCCCTGGTGAAGTGGAGTTGAATTGGCTGGGATGCCTAGTTGAACTGAACAGTGAATTGCACACATGTGTAGTGTGTACCTGCTGTGCTAAGTGAGCACAGAGGATGCAAAGGTGGCTAAGTCATGACCTCTGCCCTCTTGGCCCCCTCTCCAGAGGAAGCCATCTGTGTACACCTGGGGCAAGGCCCTGTAAGGCCCAGGGAGCTACAGGGGCATATAGACAGGGAGAGGTTACCTGGGCTGACCTTTCAGGATACCATGTAAATCATCCTGTGGGACAGGAGGCTGGACACTGGATGGGAGGGAATAAGGGACTTCACAGAATGCCATCTGGGGATGTGTTGTATGTGAGCTTCACGACAAGACCTTCTGGTAGTTGAATGGAATCCAAGAAGTTATTTCAGGCTTATGCTTCCTATAGTAAAAAATACTATGTTGCACATTTTGTGTATGATAAAAACAGGTTTGATTCAAGATTAATTTAAAATGTACTATATTAACCTATAGTTTATAGCTTATCAGTAGTCTGAATAAGCCAGCTTGTTTTGTTGCAGTCTGTACTACATGTGACATTACCAGTAAGTCCCCAACTTACAAACTTGTATAGGTGTACTATGTAAGACTCAATTTGTTGGCTTACAAACTTATCTGACCTACAGTTTTCCTGGGGGGGAACTTGTTCATAAGTTGGGGATTTACTGTACAGTGATTTTTAAACAGGAAATTCCAGTTGTCTCTTCCTGATTAAAACTCCCCAATAATTGACCAAATCTTAGTGTTGAGGAAAGAAAGCTAGGCATCAAAATGTACCTGTCACAGGCTCCCATTTATGAAATTCACAAATTAGTAAAACTAATACATAATGGCAAAAGTCAAGATACTTGTTACCAGCCAGGTGTGGTGATGCACTCCTGTAATCCTAGCACTCAGAAGAGTGAGGCAGGAGGATTTCTGTGAATTCAAGACCAGTCTGGGGACTGGGGATTTAGCTTAGCGGCACAGCGCCTGCCTGGCAAGTGCAAGGTTGTGAGTTCGATTCCCAGTACCGGGAAAAACAACAACAACAAAAAAAAAGGCTACAAAGTAAGTTCAAGGCCAACCTGAGCTGCATAGTGAAACTTTGTCTCAGAAAGACAAAAACAAAACAAAAGATATGTGTTACCAATAGGAGTGGGAAAAGGAATTCAGGAGCCTTCAGGTATACCAGAATGTTCATCTTGGTCTGGTTAGTGATCACTGATACTGTACTTGCAAGTTTAGACTAAGGGTATTGCTTAGTAGTTGCCTAGCATATGCAAGCCTCTGGATTCCATCCCCAGCACAAGAGGGGTGTGGATCACAAGTCAGAAATTACCCTGGATATGTAGTGAGACCCTGTCAAAAAATCAAGTTTGTATTTTAGATTTGAGCACTTGACCTCATGGAAGTTATTTCTAGTAAACATTTTTAAAATAGAAAAGATGGGCAGGTGCAGGAAGATGAGCAGAAACGTGGTACATGTGGGGAACAGAGTCTTTCAAGGAGGGGCTCAGGGAAATGGTGTTCCCAGGGGCCCTACGATGGGGGGAATCTTGTGTTTTAGGAAGACAGGCTGAAATGAGCAGGCAGAACAGTATGAAGAGGTGGAGGTAAAGCTCATGAAGATTATTGAAAGTGATCTAGGAGCTGGGCGTGGTGGCACACGCCTGTAATCCCACTACTCAGGAGGCTGAGGCAGGAGGATCGTTATGCGTTCGAGGCCAGCATGGGCTACAAAGTGAGCTCAAGGGCAGCCTGAACTGCACAGCGAGATCCTGTCTCAAAAAGACAAAAAAAAAGAAAAAAAAAGAACAAAGAAGGTGAAGGCAGAGGCCTGAACTCAGAGGATGGTGGGGGTGGGCACAGAGGAAGACAGGTGGGTGATAGGAGCTGCCATCTGAATAGAAAGGAATGTAGCTGTAAACCTCACAAGGTCCCTAGGCTACAGCCCAGCCCTGCCCTGCCCTGCCCTGATGAGATACTGCTTCCTCATCAGGAAGCTAGGAAAATGTGCCTAGGGTCACCCCTACCTACAGAAGCCCCATCACCAATCTACCCTTTGTGTGCGAAAGATCATTTGTAAACCTGCGGGGGGAGGGGGGGAATAGCTTGGTGGGAGTCTTAAGTGCCCAGCACAGTGGGAGCATTTTCAGAGAGAAAGCAAACAAACAGGCTTCCACGTGGTAGAGCTGGTGCTGACCGGCCCTGGTAGGGCTCTGTGAGGGCTCCCAGTGGTCACTGAGTGAAAAGTAACCTGCTTTCCTTCCTCCATGGCAGGAAATCACTGACCAGGATATGTTTGGAGATGTGAGCACAAGTCTGATTGTGCCTGAAAAAGTCAAAACTCCCATGAAGTCCAGCAAAACTGATCTACAGGGCTCTGCCTCCCCCAGGTACACCAGGGTGGAGGGAAAAGATGGTACACACCTTTGACCCTGCTTAGCACCCTCTCCAGGCTCACTTGGTGTTGGGGTTGGAAGGCCTGTTTAACCCCTTCCCTCCCTGCCTGGTCAGCAAAGTGGAAGGGACTCACACACCCCGGCAGAAGAGGAGCACACCCCTGAAGGAGCGGCAGCTCTCCAAGCCCCTGAGTGAGAGGACCAACAGCTCCGACAGCGAGCGCTCACCCGACCTGGGCCACAGCACACAGGTACGTGTAGGTCCCCCGGCAAGGCCAGAGCCCTCTGAGGTTGCCTGGATTTAAGTCTTTCTCTCTTTTGTCATCCTCCTTGGATAGCTAAGTGGAGAAGAGAAGAGGAATACTTGAAATACTGTAAATAAAAACTCCAGTGAAAGACCTAGACAGAGAAGTTCACTAGCTTCTCTGCTCGTGTGGAACTGGACTTTGTGTTGATGGGCAGGGAGCAGAGGTTGGTGCCTTGGCCCTTGCACCGTTAACTACAGGATCATTCCAGCCCACTCTTATGCCCCTTCCAAGCCTAAGAGTGAGCAGGCTGGAGAAGTGGGAAGAAATAGGACCTCAAGGAGTGCGTTCTCTCTCAAGCATGGCATCAGGGCATGGGAAAGAGATCCCCTCAACCGGGGTACTTTGTGCCATGGCTGTCTTCCTAGTGTTAAGCAGCCAGTCTGTTTGTTCCCCTGATACACGTGGAGGGTTTGTGTCAGTGTGGCTTCCTGAGTTTGACATTATTACATAGCTGCAAATCAAACTGAGACTAGAATAGCATAGTGCCTGGGGTGAGATATTGTCCTTCTGGTTAATCACTGTTCCTGAAATACCTTTGTGCCCGCTGCCGCTCTCATTATTTCGCTCCCCACTGCCCTCGTTGTTCTCCCAGCACCTGCTCACTGCTCTCACACTCACTCCTCCTCTCCTGCCATCCTCCACTCTGTCTCCAGCCCTGCCGTCTCTCCACAGGGCTACTGTGGTATCACTTGGTGTGACAATGTGTGTCCAAGGATTCTGTGCTTGTTCCTCCTCCACTTGGGTCTGGCCAGTGGAAGACTGTCCCTTCACAGATCCCTAGTACCTGCTCCCTAAATGCCCCTGTGCTGGGATTTCTCCCTGTACCTGCCACCAGCCCTCCCTCCCCGGCAGTGCCTAACACAATTGTTCCTACAGATTCCAAGAAAGGTGGTGTATGACCAGCTGAATCAGATCCTGGTGTCTGATGCAGCCCTCCCAGAAAATGTCATCCTGGTGAATACCACTGACTGGCAGGGCCAGGTAAAAGCATGGAGGACCCCAGTGGGGAGTCAGTAGATGCCTGAGGTATGCTACTCAAAATAGCATGTGAAGAAGCCAGAGAGTGACCCCATGTCTCAGACCTCATCCCCCAGGTCCCACCCAGAGCCCTGGGCTCTAATTCTGCTTCCATCCTTGCCCAACCCATGGAATATTTAATAGTTTATCTGTTACATATCTCAGATTCCTCATCTATAAAAAGAGAACAGTCAGTATTCCTTGTGGCCTGCCTCCCAGGGTGCTGTGTGCACCAAGTGGCATATGCAGTGGTGGTGCTTTGAGCAGCACTGAGTGCTACCAGGCATAATGGCACAACCCATAATACCAGCACTTGGGAGTCTGAGGCAGGAGGATCGCCGAGAGTTCAAAGCCAGCCTGGGCTATGGAGGGAATTCGAGGCCAGGTTGAACTACATAAGGAGTCCCTGTCTCAAAAAAAGCATTGAGTACTATAAGACACCAAGGCCGCACCTAGTTTGCATGAAAGCAGTTCAGCAGGAGCAGAGCAATCTGCACACTCTGTCACCACTGTCTACTCTATGAGACAGTGCCAGAAATGTCTGAAGCCCCCCTAAAGTCTCCCCCACTTCCACAGTCAGTGTTTCCTTCAAGGGTGCCCCATCCTCTCTTAGGGACTGCCAGGAACCTTCATCACCTTTGGCCAGAACCACAGAGGACAGGGCTCTACAGCTTGGCCAGGGCTTTGCCTCCTTTCTTAGTGCCTGTGAAGAGACATGTAGCCTCACCTGTGTCTCTGCCCCTTCCTTTCCCTGCCAGTATGTGGCGGAGCTGCTCCAGGACCAGCGGAAGCCTGTTGTGTGCACCTGTTCCACTGTAGAAGTCCAGGCTGTGCTGTCTGCTCTGCTCACCCGGATTCAGCGCTAGTAAGGGCTCCATCTTACCCCCTCCATCTTGTTCTCCCACCCTGACTTCCAAGAAGCAGTAGAGCCTCATGCCCTTGTCAGATCAAGAAACTGCAGTTCAGGTATATGGTTAGGGATAGAGCAGCAGGCCTGCTAGAATACTGGCTCTGAGACCCTGTCTACCTGCCCAGACCCCTGCAGCACCTTGACTTGCCTCATCTTATTTCTAAGCCCGTGATGAAGAAGAGAGAAGCTGGAGTTTTAAAAAGACCTTTTATTCCGTCCTCTAGCTGTAATGTGCTGCTTGATGGTTGGGAATCAGTGCTTTCCCTCTCCACAGCCTTCTCAGAAAGGCCTGGAGTCTTCTCCCGTGTGACAGAGAATGGGAGGGTTCTAGACATGAGAGCCAGGCCCACCTTAGGCAGCACTGCTGGCTCACTCCCATTCGCCTTGGCTCTGTTTCCTTCACGGGCAGCCATCTGCCCTCTTGAACAGTGCCGTGGCTTCTTGTATCCCTGTATTGTTTTGTTCATCAGTTTGCTTTTCTTCTGTGGCTTGCTGAGATGCTGTGAAGTCAGAGCTTGGGACTGCCCTAAGCAGGATCGCAGTGAGCCTCAAGCATGGTATATGAAGATCCTCTTTCTCCCCAGCTGCAACTGTAACTCCTCCATGCCAAGACCAGTCAAAGTGGCGGCCGTGGGAGGCCAGAGTTACCTGAGTTCCATCCTCCGGTTCTTTGTCAAGTCCTTGGCCAGCAAGACTTCTGATTGGCTGGGCTACATGCGTTTCCTCATCATTCCCCTGGGTAAAGTCATAAAGTTGGGCAGCATCCAGGAGGGTGTGTCAGACACCTGCTTCTGCAGGCAGATCCCACCCCTGCCCCAGGATGGGGGGGTTGATCCTCGCATGAGACCATCCAGAATACAAAGACCAAAAGGCAGGACCGTGGCTGGGGACAGCTGCTCCCACAATCCCATTCACTAGCCCATCCCCCTTTTCTGGCTTTCTGTCTGCCAGGTTCTCACCCTGTGGCCAAATACTTGGGCTCAGTCGACAGTCGATATAGCAGCACCTTCCTTGATTCTGGCTGGAGAGACCTGTTCAGCCGCTCGGAGCCCCCAGTGTCAGGTAATGGTCCTGGTGAGGGAGCTCCCACCTACAGAGAGGCACCTGATTCCCGAAAGCCAGCCCAGCCAAAGGAGGGTAGGGCTACTTCCTGTGGCCCTCACCTCTCTATCCAGGGCCTGTTCATTCCTAGTGGGTGTTTAAGTGGTATCCCATCCTGTGTAGCCCTGCCTTTCAGGACACTCTCCTCCCACTATCAGTCCTGCTCCCACTGTCTGGAAGTAAGATGAGGGGGCCAGCTCTTCTATAGAGATGAAATGTAAGAAACTAAGTGTTCTGGAGTGTCTTTTGGTTCATGGTTCCTCCAGTTCACAACTGAGGGACTCTCAGAGGTCTTTCTCCACCTCAGCTCCACAGGCCTCTGCCTGGGTCTGTGGAGAGGCTCTCTCCAAGGGGTTGCACGTTTCACTGCTAAGCTGAACAAGCACTGCCCTCCTGGCTTTTCTACAGAACAATTGGACGTGGTGGGCCGTGTGATGCAGTATGTCAGTGGGGCGGCTGCAACACACCAGCTGCCCGTGGCCGAAGCCATGTTGACCTGCCGGCATAAGTTGTAAGTCTGCTTCTGGAGGGTTTAAGAAAAACAGGTCAGGTGAGTTAGGGCAATCTTGAGTCCTTCCATTTTCCACATTCTTCTTCATATCCCATTTCCTGTCGTGGGAACCCAAAGAGATACATGTTTCTGTTACCCATTCCATTCAGACACTCCCCTCTTGGCCCTTGGCCTCCCCATCTACATGAGCTCAAGTTATTTATTTCCTCTCCCACCCCTCCATACCCAAGCATCCTGTCCTGGTGACAGCGGTGAGGAGCATGCCCTCCTGCCACCCTGAGATGTGACAGGAAGTCGTAACAGTGCTCTGGACTCCTGAGCTATGGTGAAACGTGGACAGCCTATTTCCCCATTGCTCTGCTCAGTCAAACCTGACAACCACAAAGCTTTCCTATCTCCCAACAGCCCTGATGAAGACTCCCATCAGAAGTTCATTCCCTTCATTGGCGTGAGTACTGACTCCCTCTTCATGTCCCCTTGCTTCTGGCCTTCCTGCCTCCTAATGCACACAAAAATTAAGATTCATCTAGAGGAATAGTTCTTTGGAGCTCAGAAGAAAGCTCCTGCCCCCATGTGCTATCTGGCAATGTCTGGAGACATTTCTGATTATCACAGCCAAGCTGTGGTGCTCCTGGCATCTAGTGGGTAGAAGCCAGGGTTGCTGCTAGACACCCTGCGTGCACATGATGCCCCACTGGAGAGCTAAGTGGGCCCAGAGATCAGGGGTATTGAAGTGAAGCAGCTCCAGGCCCAGACACATACTGGGCTGTGCCTTTTAGGGTCCTCCTTTCCTAAATTATTAACTATCCCCAGATTTGTCTCTGGTGTCTCCTGTTTACTGCACCAGGCCCTGGACTTGGAGCCTGTGGGCCTCTGGAGTGATGCCAGAGAGTGGCTTCTAGGAAAGAGGAAGTGCCCTCAGAAATAATCGTGGTATTCTGAGGAGAGGTTTGAAAATACTATTTTTTCAGTGCTAGGGCTCAAACTCAGGGCTTTGCACATGCTAGGAAAATACTCTACCACTGAACTGCATCCCCAGCTCTTTTATTTTGAGACAGGGTCTCACTAAGTTGCCCAGCCTGGCCTTGAACTTGCAGTCTTCCTGCCTCAGTCTCCCCGGTAGATGGGATTACAGATATACATCACCATGCCTGAGGAGAATCAGGTATTTGCCTTCAGGGTTAGATACCACTAAGAGTAATAGGTACTTCCCTTCTGTTTAATCAAGGAAAAGTCTCTATTAGTAAATTTTGAAATAAAGAAAAAAATCTCTTGGATGTCTCTGGTGTCAGGGACACAAGCCCTTGATCTATTCACCTGGCAGCAGCTGGACCTCAGGTACAGGCTGACCTAGACAGCAACCCAGAGGAGACTGAGCACCCCAAGAAGACTGAAAACTTCCCATGCTCACTTAAGACATTGTGATTTCCCTTCCACGTCGGCTTGTGTTTCTCTCTATAATCTACATAGCTTTTAGATCCCTCGTAGCTTTTAGAGGGGAAGGGGCAGCACAGGATGGGGGTGCTTAGCTCCCCACTATCTTTGGTTGCTAAACATCCAAGACTGTGGGTGACCTGAGTGATCTTAGCTGGGGAAGTGAGCAGCCCTCCTAGGGCCTCGCCTGGTTGCCTATCTGGCAGGGCAGTTACTCCCTGCCTGGGGTTGCTCCTACAGCTACACCAGAAGTCCCAGGAACTTATGCATGGTACATAAATGTTCTACCACTGAGTTATATCTCCAGCCCCTCCTTTCTTTCTTTATTTCAAGACAGGTCTTGCTAATTTGCTAAGGCTGACCCTGAACTTGAGATCTTCTGGCCTCAGCCTCTCGAGTAGCTGGAATTACAGACATGTACCACTGTGTCCAGCTCTATACTGGCTGTTTGATTCATGCCTTTGTGGAACTGGGGGTTGCTGCTCCTTCTGACCTCATAGTCAAGCAAGAAATGAAAAATTTTTTTAAAATGTCTTAAGGTGTACAGCTCAGTGGTAGAGCATTTTCCCAGTATGTACAAAGCTCTGGGTCTGATCCCTAGTACCACAAAAAAAAATTTTTAAAAAGCTAAAGGAGTTAGTGGCCTCATAAACTCCCAGGGGAGCAAGGGAACAGGGCACCTACATCCAAGAAGCCCAGAGTATACATTGATTTCTGTGGTCTGAATGGCTGCAGTGCCCTAGGCAGCCTGCAGGGGATCAATCACCTGCTGATCTGTGCTCCAGCAGCCCCAGGCCCAGATGCTCCTCTGCCCAGGGCTGACCCATGCACCTGGGCATTGGACCCACCTGTCATTCCAACCACAGGGGCTTTTCATCAAGTCTGTTTGTAGCAGCATCTTTTTCTGGCTACTGAAGGGCCTCTTTGTTCTTTTTAGAATTCTCTGGGGAATCCCAAATTCCTGAGGGGCTTGTCATGGGTATTTCTGGTTCCTGGAAGGCAGAAAGGGGAAGAAGGCTGGTGCCAGCACTTCAGCCTGCTCATACAGGGTTCAGGGTTTACTTGACTACACTGAGTGTGGTCAGCTGTAAGACACACCCATTTTGACCGAGATGGACCCTGCTTCCTAGTCCCTGTACCCGCAAGACTGTAGAAGAAATGAGATCAAGACACCAATATGTTTTCTGCCTTCAAGGTGGGGTTGCTCTTATCCCTACTTATCTCTAGAGAAGAGCCACAAAGTCTCATGGGCCCATCTCATACTTTAGACTTGGCTTCTTTCCTTTTTTTTTTTTTTTTTTGGTGCTGGTCATAGAATCCAGGGCCTCGTGCAGGCCAAGTATGCACTCTACCACTGAGCTGCACCCCAACCCCAGGAATGGGGTTTTTTATTTCTCTTATCTGTTAACCTCTTGTCTGCTCCAGATACATGAAGATTTTAAGAACCTGTGATAAAATGTGTGGTAAGCCGGGTATAGTGGCCCATGCCTATATTCCCAGCACTCAAGAGGCTGAGGCAGGAGGATTGCTGTGAGTTCGAGGCCAGCCTGAGCTACATAGAGAGTTCAAGGCCAGTCTCAACCACATAGTGCATAGTGCAACCCTGTCTCCAGAAAAAAAAGTTGTGTGGTAAAGGCTATGTTGCTGGCCATCTGTTTCCAGTTGGATCTGCTCACCTGCCTCGATGGAAGACCTAACACGTGTCCTTCCTTCCTGCAGGTGGTGAAGGTAGGCCTAGTTGAAGACTCACCCTCCACTACAGGTACACTGGACTCCTTTGCTTCTCTGGGGTGAGGGTGGGGCCTTCTGGTCTTTCCCTGTACCAACTGGCCAAAGGCCTTGGCTGTAGTGGGAAGCAGCTTGAGCAGAAAAATGTGTGCCTCACCCTGGGTGTGTGGGGAAGAAAAACGGGGAAGCCTGAGGGCCCAGCAGGAAAGTACCTGGCTCCTTGCCACCAACAGACCAGGGATGGCTGCCTCTGGCCAACTGTGTTTGTTCCCCTGACAGGTGACGGGGACGATTCACCTGTGGTCAGCCTTACCGTGCCCTCTACATCACCACCTTCCAGCTCTGGCCTAAGCCGAGATGCCACAGCCACCCCTCCCTCCTCCCCGTCCATGAGCAGTACCCTTGCCGTCATGGGGTAAGGCTCTTGTCTGGACCTATCCATCTGCTGTGTCCTCCCATCAGGGTCCAGCAACCTGACTCACTTTCCTGGTGCAACATACTGGCCTTAAAAAGTCACACTGGGTGAGAACACTGGGTAAAAATGCAGAGGCTGGTCACCAGGAGGCCGAGTCACTGAAAGGGGGAAGTAGGAGGACACTTGCTGCCCATTGGCCTCAAAGAGATGCAGGTCGAATGGGACAGTGGGTAGCAGGGCCTTCTGTAGGCTGTACAGTGCCATGCTTGTCTTGCTCTTGAACTTCTGGGGCTGCAGTGGGGCACCTTTTGTGCATTTGGTATGCGTGCAGGCTAGGCCTACGGTGCAGGAGCAGACGTCTGCTCCTGAGATGGCAGGGAGTTACAATTAGGGGGATGGGGAGCCTTAGGATTTCAGGTATCTAAAGTTTAGATGGAGAGCCAGGAAGCTGCTTTTCCATGAGGCCTGGGGGAGGGAGGGATTCCAGACAGAAAAGAGCAGCCCTTGGTCGGGAACAGAGGACAGCCTCTTCTGTCACTTTCCTCTGCCTTTACCTCTGCGGAAGCACTGGCCAGTGGCTTTTCCAGAGCACTAATGACAGTGTCATATCCCCTGAAGACCCACCCTGGAGTTACAGTCCCAGTCTGTGTCCTTCACTCTCCCTCCCTCTTCTCATTGTTGTCCTTCATGGTCTTCTCCTGACTGGTCTGGAAGGGATAGTGTGGGAACACAGCCATGTACAGCCCCAAGACCCTGATGATACCAGGCTTTCAGGAGCCTGTTTTCTCTCTGCTCTCCCACGTGAAGGATTTCTGGTCAGCCTGGATTTGGGAGGCCTTGGGACCAACCTCAACCTCGACCTCCTTTCCCATCCAATTTAAGCTTGTTTTGCTAATGGAACCACTGAAACAAGGTAGAAAGAAAAGTCAGATGACTTTCATAGCCCTTGTACCTATTGTGTCTGACGCCTCCTTTCAAGAGAGCATCAGCCCTTTTCCCCCTAGGAGCTAAAATTATCACTGAGCTAAAGGTGCCATACATAAGCAAAAGCTCAGGTCAGGTCCCTCAGCTCCCATGGCTACTCTGGAACTGTGGGGTGGTGCTTCTGCCCCTCCCTGCTGCCCCTCTCCCATCTGCTGCCTCATGTGGCTCTGGCTTTGCTTACTGAGAGTGTGTGTTGGTGTGCACATGTGTGCAGGTGTATGTGCGCACTTTTTCACAGAGCTTCCTTCTCTACCTCCCTCACTATATGACATTTTTGTTTCATTCTTTTACCATGATGTGGGCCTTTATCCCCTCCTGGCTTTGTTCTCAGAGCAGCCTGATTCTCCACCCCCACATGAGCTGATCCTGTGTGACTGGAGGGAATGTAGAGCTACTCAGCTGCCTTCCCCCGCTTCTCCTGCTCCCAAAGCTGGCAGTCCCCTGTGGGCCCCCTATCTGGCCACTGTAGTTGGGCACCAAAGACAAAGCTGACCGCCTGTTTATGTCCCCCCTTCTCTAGGAGCCCCAATAGTCCTTATGGGGATGTGATTGGTCTCCAAGTGGATTACTGGCTAGGCCTTCCTGCGGAACGGAGGAGGGAAGGCGACAAGAGGGATGCCAGCTCAAAAAACACCCTCAAGAGCGTCTTCCGCTCAGTGCAGGTTTCCCGCCTGCCCCATGGTGGGGAAGCCCAGCTTTCCGGCACCATGGCAATGACTGTGGTCACCAAAGAGAAGAACAAGAAAGGTAAGTGCCACCTGAGTCCAAGGGAGACCAAGGACCACCAGGCTTTCCCTGCCATCTCTCAGGGCCTGACACAGAATCTGCTTCTGGATGCAGCACATGTATTAGTAGCAGTGCCACATGTCCGCCCAGGGCCCAGTTAGGCTATTACCTGGAGGGCAAAGTCATTGCTTCAGTAATGCAAGAAATTCAGGACCCAGCTGCTGAGCAAGCAGCACTTTAGGGCTAAAGCAGTCACTACTACAGTATGAAGGAGCCTTTCTGGCTACTGTCCTCAGGAATGGTCTGTAGATCAAGGAGTCCTGTCTCTGTGCCCCAGCCCCGGGGCCACCATGACTGTAGAGAAGAGTGTTGACACCCAGCACTGCTCCAGAGAGGCTTCAAGAGCAGGATTTAGCTGTCTTTAGAATTAGGGGAGTAGTCCTTCTGGACAACAAGGGTGGCTTCAACCACTGGAGGCAAGAGTAGAGGGTGGCCCTGGGTCCTAGCTTAGGGAGAATGAGGCAGGAATCCTCACACCCAGACTGCTGCTCAAGCACCTTGCTACTATCCTAGGCAGCTGGGAGCTGCAGCCCCAACTGTGCACCTGAACAGCTGCGTGATCCTGGACTGTGCTCCTGCAGGTACTGGCAGAGCAGCTGTGCTGTTTCCTGAGCAGCAGAGTCCCCTAGGAGCTCAGGCAGAGGCTGTGCCAGGCCCACATGCAAAACTCATGGATTGCAGTGCGGGCACTTGCTGGAGAGCCATCAGCTCAGCCATGCCCTCCCTGCCCTTGCCTCCTTCCTGGAATAGGAGCATGTAGGGAGCACTCCCACATCTACAGGGCAGGGTTAGTGCAAAACCCCACACCCCAGCATCTCTTCCTCAGACACGGCTCAGCTCACCCCAGGCAGGAAGGTAGGCCCTGCCAGAAGATGCTTAGAACATTCCAGCTAGGAGGGACTTCAGAGACCATTTGGCCCCAGGTCCTCACTATGCAGGTGTAGACGGTGAAGCCAAGAGAGAAGTTCAGGGTCTTTGCCCAAGTCAGTAGGAACTTGCCAGTCCTGACCCAGACCAGAGCTCAGAAGCACAGAGACAAGGGCAGGGTTTTTGCAAATTACTCCCCACTTCAAGAAGTGGGGCAGCACTTTCCCAGGCTGTGACAGACAGGGGTGGTTCCTGCTGACTTTGTAGTTCCCACCATCTTCCTGAGCAAGAAACCCCGGGAAAAGGAGGTGGATTCTAAGAGCCAGGTCATCGAGGGCATCAGCCGCCTCATCTGCTCCGCCAAGCAGCAGCAGACCATGTTGAGAGGTGCGGTGACAGTGATGGTGGGTGAGGGAGGGGACATGGTGCTCCCAAAGGGCATGAGGAGATGGCTTCACTGCCCCATCACCTCTTCTTTCCCTGTTGCCCCCAGTATCCATCGATGGAGTCGAGTGGAGTGACATCAAATTCTTCCAGCTGGCAGCCCAGTGGCCCACACATGTCAAGCACTTTCCAGTGGGACTCTTCAGTGGCAGCAAGACCACCTGAGGCCCTGCCTCCCAGCCACTCTCCCTCCTGGCACTGCCACCCAGCCTCGCCACCTGCCGGCAGGGGGAGGCCAGCAGGCCCGGCCCAGCACCCCTTCCTGGCACTGGAGCCTGCCTCTCACATGCCCAGTCCTGAAGGACACTGCCACTGGGGACGCTGCCCTCCCCTGCCCACTGCCTAGTCCTACCCCTGGACTGCCATTCCTCTCTCCCTCTTTCAGTTCTCCCTCGTGCTCCAGGCCCAGAGCAAGTTGGTTCTGCCTTCTGGTACCCATAGTCCCTGGAAGTGAGTCCTCCAGGGCTTCCTTCATCGATCTCTCCACTGCTTGCCCCTGTGGTACCAGTTCTTTTTCTAGAAATAGGAAGCCAGGAATCTTGGTCCACAGAGGGAGAGACCAGCCTCCCCCGCCCCACCCTGACCACTAGCCTCTCATTTTCTAAGGCCCTGCTGCCAGACACCACTCACGCTGTTTATAGCCAGCAGAGGCAGGCCCTCTTCCCACACCTGGGGTGGTCTCTGCCTGCTCCACGGCTTCCCACTGGAGGGTAAGGGGCACCCAAGTGACAAGTATGTTTTTAGAATGGAGGGGTCTTCCCATTCTCACACACACACAACTTCCCACTATCACAGGTCCCTATAGATGTTGTGAGTCCTGAGTGTTTCTTTAGGTCTTTGCACGGTCAGTCCCTTGGTTGTTCATGTGGCTCGCCCTGTGTACAGGTTCTGTCCTTCCTCCCCTATTGGTGATGCTATTCTTTCTACCTCCCAGCCTCCCACCCAGCACAGCTCTGCCTAGCCTAGAGGTGGGAGGCAGATCCCCAGCACCTGTCTGTGACCCCCTGCCACCAGCCCTGTGTCTCTCTTCCTGTGTGTTCTTTGTCTTCCCTAACCCTAGTGCTCCCCTACTGCCCACAGCTCTCTGTGGATAGATCTGAGTCCCTCCCCAGCCTCCTCATCAGCATCAGTGTCCTCAGAAGGGGCTGAGGACTTGAGGACAGGGTGCAGAGCTGGCCCACCTCCATACCTGCTGGCATCTCCAGAGCTTCTCCATCACCCTCTCACTGCTCCCCAGAAGCTGTGGCACAGAACTTCAGTTTGAAAGTGTTCTTCCTATTCTCCATGCCTTCCATGACTCTCCAACCCTTCCCCACAGCCGGCCCTGCTGTCCAGAGCATCTCCTGGGCCCAAGAGGAGAGCAGGGTGGGAGGACGGGTATGTTGAATTTTTCATTCAATAAACTGGTGATTTCTTACCAATTTCCTGGGCTTCTGCACCTCTCACTATTCCACCACAATTGTCTGCCCTGTCTCCATTCAAAATCAACTAGGAACATGGGTGGAAATTGAAATCCTATTCTCTCTATTATGGGAACAGAGGCATGAAAATATCTTAATCTGTACGTAACAGGCAGAGGTCAAAAACAGGAATGATGCTGTTCCCACACTAAAGTCCCATTTTTCTCCAGGACCCAGTATTCCCAAACCCACCTCCCAGGGCAGAGGCAGGTAGAGGGCTTAGAGCTGTCTGGAGTCCATCTTTTCAGTTCAGTTTTCTGCTAGTCCATGACTCGAGAAGGAACACCATTGTAGTCCCTGTTTTGTGGGTACTAGATGTCCCCTACTCCCAGGGAAGAGGCTCCCTGAAAGAAGTGCTGGATGGGGCCATGGTGGCTGGTGTTCTCACCTGGAAAGGTACAGCTGCAAGGAAGCCAAGTAAGGCAGCCTGTCGCTAGCCTCAGAGAGCATCTCAGTACCTGTGGCCAGGTGTCCTAACGTCCCTGTGACCCACCCATGTGGCCCCACAAACTTCAGAGCTTGGAAGATGGAAGTGTCGTCTTGTCTCCCAAAAATGAGAAGCCAGTGAGCAAGAAAGAAGTGCCCCAGAAGGAACCATGTGCCCTCTGCCTGAGAAGCACCAGGAGAACCCATCCTGCCTCCTGTGAGCTGGAGAGCATGTGAGAGCTGACACAGAGCAGCCCAGGAGGTGAGACTTCAAGGAAGCGATCTGTGCCCCCACTTCTTCCATTCCCTTCAGGCTTTCCCCCTCATAATCCCTATAGAAATTCCCTTGCCAGAGTCCCCAGTGACCGGATTTGCCAAATCCAAAGGATATTTCTCTCCTCTGCCTACGGCCTAGGATGCAATGCCAGTTCTCACTTCCTCCTTGGGTCTCTCCAGTCAGCCTGTGGACCACACTCCACTCCTCCCACCCCACTGGCTGCTCCCTCTTGGCCTCCCCTCCTGCATCCCTCTTAGCTCGCAGCCTAGGGACCCTGGAAAACTTGGGGCTCTGCCTCTGGCCTCTTGTCTGCCCAACCTTCAGTCCTAAAAGGAATTCTCTGTGCCGCATAGTGTGAAATACGCTCTCTTGTGGAGACCTTTCCCTGCAAAATCTTGAATTTTTTTACCTGTGTTTTTGATGACCTTGATGGTGTTTTGTTTTTGTGTTATTTACGTTGGTGGGGATTGAACCCATACATACTAGGCAAGAGCTCAGCCACTGAGCCACTGAGCTACATCCCTCACCTTAATCTTGAGTTTTGAGACATACAGGTCAGATGTTTCATAGCACACAGCTGGGACTTTGTGCAGATTTCAGAATAATATTTTAAAGAACTTCTTTCATCACCCCACTGCTGTGTCCAAGGACAGACAGCGTTAATAGCTATTTTGTCTCCTACTAGGCATGGTCTTTTAGGCAGGCCTTTGCTGAGCACTTCACACGGTTTGTTTCATTGATCAAGTCTTCAGAGAACCCTATGACATCAATACTGCGCTCCGTCCTCACACGAGGTCAGAGAGCCTGGAATGATATCAACCATTCATTGATGTGAATGTTCACAGACATCTCAACCCTCACATAGCCAAAGCTGGGCCCCAGTCTCCCCATGATTGGTATGTTTGTTTGTTTTTTTTTTTAGTGGGGTTTTTTTGTGTGTGTTTGGTTTGGTTTTTTGGTATATTTGAGACAGGCTGTCACTTTGCAATGCAGGCTGGCCTCAAACTCACCGAGATCTTTCTGCCTCAGCATCTGGAGAGCTGGGATTACAGATGTGCCACCATGCCCCACATCCCCATGCTTGATAAATGGCATCAGCATCCATCCTGTTACCCAAACTAGAAACCAAAGTTTCATCCTCCAGGGATCCTGCTCCCCACCCACCAGCAGTTCCTGTCCATTCTGCTTTCCACACCCGTGCCCAAGAGGCTGACTCAAATGAGTGCACCTTACCCAACACTCACACATCAGCTGAGGAGCCCAGATGCTTTCTTCCTTTTCCTCCCTTCCTTGCTGTGTTGCCCAGGCTAGTCTCAAACTCCTGGGTTAAAACAGTCCTCCCACTCACCCTCCCAAGTGCTGGAACTACAGGTGCAACCCACCATGCCTGGCAAGGAACCAGAATTCAAACCCAGGGCTTGTGACTCCACACAGCATGTGTCAACCCACCACATGGATAACAGTCATTAGGTTGCTGGCTTAGTCCCTGCCTCAGCTGTGCTGACACAAAGACATATACATGGTTGGGTCCTCACTTACACAGAAACTAAGGCTAGCACAGGCAACACGAAGACAGTTGCCACACTAAGTGACATATTGCATGGGAGCACTTAGGAAGGGCACCTAACCCAGCCTAAAGGGAGAGGTATCCAAGATGTTGCAAGACAAATGACACCTGAGTGGCATCTTCAAGACAGCGGACAAGATGGATGTTCTGGACACAGAACCAGCACATGGCTCAGTGCCGCTAGCGGGGATGGTGGGAATAGGGAAGGAGGACCTTGTGGCTATTATTCCATCTTTGCCAGTGTGAGGATTGTGCCCTTGATCCTGAGATAACAGGGAGCTCATAAAGGGTTTCAGGCAGAGAAACTCACTAGCTACAGCACCCAGGAGGACACAGGATCTGATCCAAACCAGGCAACAAGTTCAAAGGCTGTAGCAGCAATTTAGGAGCAATGCGACAAGGACACAGATTAAAGAAAAGGTAGGAGGTTTGGAGGAAAACAGAACTGAGAGCGTTTTTAGAGACTGAATTAACAGGTTTGGGAGGCTAGTTAGGAATGGGGCTGAAAGAGAGCGAGGCAAGGACAGAACTGGCCATGCACCACCCACAGTGACCAGGTGGTGAGACCTCCCTACAGGAGATCTGGACAGGAGATGGTGTGCATGCTCTGGGGCCAGGGCCATGTGCCCAATTCCAAGCGCAAGTTGAATATACGAGCCAGGCTGAGCTGAGGGGGGCACTGTGGTGGAAATGGAGACCTGGGCTTCCTTGGCATGTTGATGGTCACCCCTGCCAGCTGGTGCCCTTCCATTCTGACCATGTACGTTTCTTCTGTGTCACCTGCTCCCTTGTCTGTCGTGCACTTCCCGGTATCACTGTAAGCAGGGATTGCCCTATATTCTACATTTGCACTCCGTACCCGCCCTCCCCAGCAGAGGGTCCATCATATAGTCAGCTTCTTGGTGATGCTAATAAAGAGCAGCTATGAGGAATAGTGTCTGTTATTTACCAGGCCTATTGTGAAAATGGTGCCACTGTATTCATTTCTTCGTGACCTAACAAGGTAGGTATTAGGAACCCATTTTATAGATGAGGAAGCAGATAAAATACAGAATGCCACAAAAGCCACACAGCTGGCAAATAAAAAGACAGCTCTGATCTTTGCTGCATCTCATCCCTGTGTTCCCACCTACTAAGTAGGACAAGAACCTTCTAGTCTGGCTGGGAGGCTACAAAGAAGGAGAGGTGCAGATCGGCCATGCCGGTGCCAGGATAAGAACCACGGCCTCTCAGATCTCTGAGCAGACTTGATCTTGGCCTAGTAGCAAAAAGAACTGATAACCAATGGTGTCCGTGGTGGAACACAGTCCTCAGGAAAGAGGGATATGATTTTTTTAAGTTTTTATTTTGGGTTTTATTAAGTTGCCCAGGCTGCTGTGCCAGTCTTAAGTACTTACGTGTCAGTCCACTGAGGTTTCAAATGGGAGGCCATCCTAAGGGAACATGCTTCCCATCACTTCAAAAGCAAGGCAGGACACACCAGAGGGAAAGGAATAATGTGAGAGAGTATATTTCAGATAGGTCTGGCTGGTGGTGTTTGTCTGTAATCCCAGTATTCTGGGAAGCTGAGGCAACAGAATTAAAGGTTTGAGCCCTGCCTGGGCTATTTGCAAGACCCTGTCTCCCCTGGCCAAAAAAAAATTTTTTTCTGTCTTTTTGAGACAGGGCCTTGCTATGCAGTTCAGGCTGGCCTTGAGCTCACTTTGTAGCCCAGGCTGGCCTCGAACTTGCAATGATCCACCTGCCTCAGCCTCTCAAGTGCTGAGATTATAGGCATGCACCACCACACCTGGCCAAAAGTTTTGTTTTTATTGGAGAAAGGGTCTTGCTATGGAAATAGAGCTGGCCTTGAACTCACTGTGTAGCCCAGGTTGACCTCAAACTTGTGATTCTCCTGCCTTAGTCTTGCAAGTACCAGGATTACAGGTGTGGGCCACCATGCCCTCCCTGTCTCAGAATTTGTAAAAGGGCTATAGCTCAGTGCAGAAGCCTGGTATTGAATTCCCAGTACTGAAGGAAAAAATACATATATTTAAATGGGATGGGTGCTTCCAAGAATACAATAATATTAAACCCAGCAAGAACAACTTCCCCAGCATGGACAAGGGCTAGGGGCGGCTGAGCACTGCAGAAAATGGCAGAAGGAGCTGAATCATCGGGTGCTGATTTCTTCCTTTATTCTCCATTTATTGAGCACCCTTCAGCAGCCTGGCAGGAGACCAGCAGCTGCTGGGCAGCACCCACGGGACAGAGACAGAGCAAGATGAAGTAACGGTTTCTTCCCTTGGGAGACAGGATGTGCACAGAGACAAGATAAAAAGGCAAGTGGCTGAAAAGAGTGAACTCGTGCAAGGTTAAGCACTGAAAGCAAGATAGGAGCGTGAGAAGGGAAGGGACAGCCCTCCTCCCCCAGTGCACAGGGCGGCTGGGCAGCTGCCTAAGGAGAAGCACAAAAGGAAATGCAAGGAATTAGCAAAAAGGCCGGAACAAAGTACCAGCCTTAAAGGGAGATTGAAAACTGTTTTCTCAAAGGAAGATTAAAACTTTGTTCTCTGTTTGCCTAAGAAAAGGTAATACAAAGGCTGGGCAATCGCTGTGTGAGAGTTTGAGGAGACCAGCCTGGGCTACAAAGTGAGTTCAAGGCCAGCCTGAACCGCATAGTGCAACCCTGTCTCAAAAGGACAAAAAAAGA